ATTATATATATATTATATATGTGTTATATATATATATTTATATATATATATATATATATAATATATATATGTATATTATATATGTATATATATGTATATATATATATAATATATATATTTATATTATATATTTTATATATATATATAGGTATATGTAACATTATGCTGGTGTGAAAGTCAGATGCTGTTGCACTAGAGGACTTTGTTCTCAGTACAAGTCTTACTGCAGAAATGCAGAGACGTTCAACTGCTACGCATACGCATGTCTGTGTGATTACGAGAAAGCATTTGATCGAGTTCAGCACGCCAAGATGATGCAAATCTAAAAGAAACAGGAATTTATAATGAATTATTTAATGAAATCCGAGCCGAAGCCCAATTGATAAATCTGCTCAAGTGTATTAACTCTGAAAACATATCCTGATCGAGTGTCCCCGGTACGCAAACACAGAGTGCAACATAAACTTAAGCCAAATATCAATTGTTTCAAACGTTTTGAACTCACCCGATCAAGACTTTAACCTAATTGGTTTACTTGATAGGCATCATGTTGTTCAACGGAATATGACACCTTGTTTTTCATGTAGTTTACTCTACTTATAACTTATATATTACTTAGTGATAAAATTATTGTATTATTTAGTCATAGGTTCTAAGCTTATAGATTAACAACTGTAGTAATTAGTAACATGTGCTTATTGTAATTATTGTACACAATGTTGATTGTGTCAATGGCCATTGCAGCCGAGACACATTAATTTAAATAAAAAAAAAAAATACCCAAGATCTGAAAATAATTAGAAATCTTTACTGGAATCAGACAGCAAATCTCAGAGTTGAAGGTGAACACACTGACCACGTGAAAATTATGCGTAGAAGTGAGTGCAGTATTTTGTCTCCTCCTATCTTTAATCTGTACTCTGAAAGAATACGTATTGGAAAACTTTGCTGCATGAAACTGAAAAAGGTATGCTACTAAATGGTTACTGGCTAAACAACATCAGATATGCAGATGACACCATAGTAGTTGCGGACAACTTGAAAGACCTACAAGTTCTTATGAACAAAATCACGTATTATAGTCAACAATATGGACTCAATATAAATGTTAAAAAAACAAAGCTTATGGTAATTAGCAAGAAAAGGATAACAGGTCAACTTTGCGTTAACCAATCCCCTGTAGAAAGATTGACGCACTACAACTACCTAGGCACCACAATAAATGAAGAACGGACCAACAGTCAGGAGATTAGATCGCGCATCGAAAAGGGAGATCTACTTTCAATCAGATGGGGGCTTTCTTCAAGAGATCACAACCTCTGTCTTGATGCAAAAAAAAAGAAATGCTGCGATGCTACGTTTTCTCTGTCTGAAAGCATGGAGGTCATGGTACTGACCGAGATTACAATATGAGGAGGTCCTCAGAACTCACTTTCAATCAGATGGGGTCTTTCTTCAAGAGTTCAAAACCTTCCTCTTGATGCAAAAGAAAGAATGCTGCGATGCTACGTTTTCTCTGTCTGGAAGCATGGATGCTTGGGATGACCGAGTTGCAAATGAGGAGGTCCTCAGAACTCACTTTCAATCAGATGGGGTCTTTCTTCAAGAGTCACAACCTCTCTCTTGATGCAAAAGAAAGAATGTGCAATGCTACGTTTTCTCTGTCTAGAAGCATGGATGCATGGACTGACTGAGTTACAAATGTGGAGATCCTCAGAAGAATACATAAGAATTAAGAGGTACTGACCATCATTAAATCTCGAAAGTTACAATTCTTCATATATTTTATGCGAAATTAATCCAGATATGCTCTTCCTCAAGCCATCCTGGAAGGAAAAATATTTGGAAAAACGGGGTCCCGAAAGAAAAAGAATAACTTGGTTTAAAAAACCTCAGAATCTGGTTCAATACAACATCTGTGCAACTTTTTCGCGCTGCTGCAGATAACATCAAGATTTCAATAATGATCGCCAACATTTGTAACGAATCGGCACATCAATAAGAAGAATGTGTTACTTACGGTTTGTCATGTGCCATAATTATTTTTCTAATCGGGATTCTTGGGTTAAATTGTTAGGAAATTTTTTTCCGATACTCAAAAACAATTTTTTTCTTACGAATTTAGTTTTAGTAAATATTTTTAATCTAACCCAGAATTAAGATAAAAATTTATAAGCAATTTGCGAACATGTCAATCATGTAATAAATCCTTTAATACGAAAAAAATGAAAAAAAAAATTGGAAAAAAAAGAAACAAAAAAAAACAAATAAATTAAAAAAAAACTAGACAAAACCAAATTTATATAAAAAAAAAGACGAAAACAAAATTAAAAAATATATATACATATTACATACAATACCAATAAAAGTAATACAATGAAATAAAAAAAAAATAAAATAAAAAAAATAAAAAAAATAAAAAAAAAAAAAAAAAAAATTAAAAATAAAAAAAAAATCACAAACAAACAAAAAAAAAAGAACAATCAAAACAAGTCAATTATTTAATTTAACTTTTAACTTACATTTAGTACTAACTCGAACTCTGATTGTTGTTCTGTGAATACAAATTACAAACAGTCTGGTCAATTTTGAGAAGGCCATTATAAAAATATATTATATATATATATATATATATATACAGTGCAGGAAAAATTTTATGGTCGGTATGGACCTTACTGTGATGATGAGTAGGTAGAACAGCTGTTTAAAAAGAGAGGGGAGGTATAATTAGGTACGCCCTTTATATCGCCGAATGGAAATATTAAAAGAAGGGGAAATTCAACGTTGCCAAACTTAATTGGTTTTATTTGACCTGTTGTCTTTTTTTGCATTTGAACAATGTTCTATCAAGAAGATAAAATGCTCAAGACAATCAAATTTGGGCGAAATTGATTTAAATGGCAGTTACTGTTTTTTTTATTAGGGATATGCCACAAGTTTTCTTTACAATAATTGTAATATAACATTTTGATTTCCATTTCGGAAATCGTTTTATATAAATAAAATTTATTAATGTTCGTATTTTAAGTACGATTTCCGAACTAAAAATCTAAATATCAAAATAATTTCCCAATAGAAATAATAAACAATTAAACAAGCATACAATAACGCCAAATTAAAAAATATTCATACACTAATTTATTTGGCAACGTCTAGTCTAGATTGTCGTCTGGTCAAAAGATCGAGTAACGAGAAGATAGAGGTGGGTCGTGTAGTTTATCGTTAACAGCGTTAGGAGCAAAATTTCGGAAGTTTTTTAATGCATTCATTTTTTTCGAATCCTGAGAAAACTAATAAATATTTTTGAAAAAATTAAACGCAGAATGAAACAATACATTATTACCGAGAGCTGAAAGTCCCTGAAAACTTCTATAATGTTTATTTTAATAAGTTATGGGATGAAAAAAAAGAAACAAAATTTAGTGTGATTTTTAATTTCAAATATTCTCATTAAAAAAACTTTTTGTTTATTCTAAGGGACCTTCGGCCCTCAGGTAATAATGTAATCTTTCATTCTGCATTTAAATTTTTCAAAAGATTTGTTAGTTTTCTCAGGATTCCAAAAAAATTTAAATTTTTTTGAATGCTAAAAAGCATTTAAAAATTTTAATTTTCATTAAACAAGTAACTATGATTGTTTTAAAAGTAGTTTCAAAGTAAGATAGTACCTACATAAATAAACATAACGGCTATTATCGTTTATGTGTTATATCTTTTGAAGTGAAAGAAACTACCTAATGATATATTTATTATAACTTGAAAAATAAACTAAAACAATCATCATCATCATATAACGGGGGTCCTACGGCGTTTGCCGCTTCTTCGCATATCAGCCTCCATCTTTTCCTATCTCCCCAATCTCCCTCTTCTAAGCCTCTAGATTGCATTGTTTTTGTAATTTCTCTTCTCCAGGAATTTGGTGGTGTCTTCCCCTTTTCCTTCTTTCTGGCGGAACATACATTAAGGCTTTCTTTGGCCACCGCTCCTCCTCCATTCTCATCACGTGACCATACCATTGTAATTGCCTTTCTTGTATTCTATCTGAAAGAGTATCTCTAATTTCCTGTACGGTTTCGTATTTCCTCATTCCTGATTCTTTCCATTCTCGATACTCGACATGACCTTCTAAGATAATCCATTTCCACAACGTCTACTTTATCTCGTTCATTCTTTGTCATCGTCCAACATTCGGCACAATATGTGGTAATTGGTTCTACAATTGCTCTGTATACGCGAAGTTTGGTATGCATCTTTATTTTATTAGACCACAGTAATGAATTCAGTATTCGGATGCATTTTTTTCCCTTGGGTTATTCGGTTTTGTACATCTATCTTAACTCTGCCATCTGCTGATATGATGCTTCCTAGATATTTACACTGGTTGCAGCCTTTTTATGGACTGCGTTTTCAAGCCTCAGATCTGTGTATTTCCTCCAATTTTTAAATATTCTGTTTTAAATATTTCTGTTCTTAAACTAAACAATACAATAGTAAATCGGACTTACATTTACATTACACGTTATTATTAAATCGCGTAATAGTCTAAAATTGACATAAAAACATAAGTTTTTCTACTTTACTTCTTTGTTAACCGTATTCTTTTTTTATTTAAAATTAAACCAGATTTTGAACATGTGTTCACAATTTACAATACTTTATGAATATAGTGGTTAAGTTAAGGATATACATGGCGATGGTTTTTCCACCGTTGTAATGGACTCTCCATGCAGGTGTACGTGTAGATGAGTCATCTCCAATTAATTGATCAAAAATACACCATGGACTTAAGTCATATTTATTGGTTTCTTTTTCTTGTACTGGTTGATTTTCAATAGTACAATCTTCTTGTTCGTTAATTATAGAAGTAACCAGCTTCTTTAACTTTTTGTTTTGTTCTGCAACTTTAAATCGTGAATCCATAAATGTACATAATGACAATGTGCCACTCTGTTCTATCCCTCTAAATCTTTTTGCTAAACCCGATATTAGTAATTGTTACTATGTCATATACTATGGATGTAAGTATGCCGTTTGCTAAAATTTTATTGCAAGATTCTTGCAGGCAGCGTACCATAACAATCACTGAACTAGCATTCAAGTATTTTTGGTCACTCATTGTACTTGTTATTTCTTTAAACGGCCGTAAAAATTTGGGAAAGTTTGAGAACAAAATAATCCAGTGTTTCTTTATTTAGATTAGGTTTTAAGTCTAAGTCTGTATTATTTAATACCAATGTGAACGGGTTGCCATCTTCTAACTCGGTCATTCTTTTTAACATGTAATAGGTGAAGTTCTTCTAGTTTCCACGTCTTGGATTGGCCGTTTGGGAACTGTGTTCTGTTGTAATTAATACTTTAACACCTTTCTGAAGATAAGGTACTTTTTTTGAAATGTGTTTTTTGCAGAATTGTCGAAAAAAGGACTTTTTATTATTTATCTATTTGTACACGACAGCATTTAAGTGCGTCCCCACCAATAAATTTAATCAATCATCATAAATCACAATTCATTCATAAAACAAAACATATTTAATAGCTTTGACCATATTTTAGGAATTATCAGTTACTGCAAAATTTACTTTTCGTTTTAGACCCGACTAATTTAATAATTTCAGTAATCGCTGTTTTCTGGATTATGGTTTCCAGAAAAATGGCAGCAGCCTAATAAAAAGTTTTGAATACTAAATTTTCGGTTAAATATTGTCCTGTTAATGCGAAGTAACTCTCAGTTACTCCAGATGTCCAGAGGTCAGTAGTAATACAGATATTATTCTACTTCTTTAACAACTTGCGATCTAATAATTTTGCTCACTTTTGACATAACATTCCTGAAGTAATGAACCTGACAAAGTTTTTCTTGTTGGCGGTTTATATCCAGGAATCCACCCTGCAAACTTTTTAAAAGCTGGTCTCTTTAACTATGGAAAATGGATGAAAACGAAAAGTTTAGTTAATCTTGAAAATCAATCAGTCCAAGAAAAAGAAACTGATAAAGATGACTTAAGTCCATGGTGTATTTTTGATGAATTAATTGGACATGACTCATCTAAACATACACCTGTAATCGAGAGGTATAAAAGAAAGTCGACATGTAATTGTCTGATGATAAATTACCCACAAACAATTTCGAACGGAGATTGGAACTGTCCCATTACCGTGGTGAAAAAAACCATCGCCATGTATATCGTAACTTAACCACTATATTCATAAAATGGTGTTAGTATTGTAACAAAATCTTTCCTTGTGAACACATGTTTAGCATCTGGTATAATTATAAATAAAAGAAGAACGCGATTAACAAGAAAAGTGGAAAAACTTATGTTTTATAATGTCCAACTTAGACGATTCGCGATTTAATAATGTGTAATGTAAATGTAACTATTTAAGTACCATTTGTATTATTATTAAATTATTTTTCAAGTTACAATAAATATATCCTTCGTTAGGTTCTTTTATTTCAATACTTTATACACATAAACGATAATAGCTAATATGTTTGTGTACTCTGCTAATTTGAATACTGGTAAACAATCAACTAGTTACAGTTTACGAAAAAACGGTTTCCGATAAAAATAAAAAAAACGAGAAGACCCACCTCTAGTTTTTTAGGTATATTAGGATCGGAACCAGAGAATATCTGATCGGAACTAAATCGTCTCACGTAAATGGGCAATGGCCAATGAAGTTAAAAGGTTTTAGGAGGGGAAGACGAAGGGGAAATATGATTGTTATCTTTGTCTAATTCGTTTGAAAATATGATTTTTATATCTGCGTTAGATATCCTGTTAAATTTTACCATACCGACCTTAAAATTTTACCTATACTGTATATATATATATATATATATTATATATTATATATATATATATATATTATATATATAATATAATATATTATATATATATATATATATATATATATTTAATGTAATTCCAGTTTTTAATATTTGTTGGTTAGAAAATTCAAATAATAAAAATACAATTTATTGCATCTTTTGTTAAATGATGTTTATATAATAAAATTATTTACATTTCATTAAAAATATTATAAGCTTATACCGATACTGAAGTAAAATACCCTTCCCAACAATACTGCATGTCTTGAAAGCAATTAACGAAACATCCAATTTTGAAAACAGAATAGAACATCCACTACTTTAATTTTCTCAATTTCACAGTTTGAACAGGAACTTCTACCTGTTTAAATCACGGAAAGTTAGTTAATGTAAAGAGTTCGCCGTTAACTCGTTAACTACTGACAATGACATACAATAATTACCCTCTCATCTCCATAAAGCCCCGAGTGCTTTTCTTCCGAAGTTCAAACTTCTATCTCTTTCTTTCGGTTCGCCTGTTGAAAAAACTTACAAATACCTTTAGTCGGGGCGACTTTTCTTTGAAAAGTTTGTATTTTTTTTTTAGTTTATATTTTAAAAATTGAAATAAACTTTCATCATAATATTAATATTATTATTATCTAGATTTCAGCCATATGGCTCCCACTTCCTCTTAAGGGTAAACTCACTTAACCCAGATACCTAAGTATCAAAAGTATTGAGCTATTGTGAGGTTCTTTCCGTTAGTAGCCCTAGGTACCCTGACGTTACGGGTAAACATTATCTTATGTACTCATTTGGATGTTTTCATGGTTTTCATGGTTTTTCAGAGATGTTTACTAAGACTCCGCTTTATAATCAATTTGATTTTCCATAAGAGATTCTTTAAAATTACACCAGCAGCAAGGAGACTAATCCCTCATTTAATATTTTGCTTGTTCACTGCTGAACATAAATCTGACTCTTAATTTTCTATCTGTTCCGATGTTGTACCTCCGGAATCATTCCTATGGCCATACTTTATAATATATCGTTAATGTTGCTAAACGACCTCTCCTTCGGTAGGCATCACCTCTTGGTCTTCATTCCAATATCCGCTTTTGTCTATCTATTATATATCATTTGAGCCACGTGATTTGCCCAGTTCCACTTCAGTGGTGCTATTTTCTCTATAGAATCACCCACTTCTTATCTTTGTCGTAGCTATAGGGTTTGGCAAATCGACAGGTATGAAGAGTAACAACCAATATTTAAATATTCTCTTTATTTTCTTCCTATTTGTATCATGTCCTTGACGATATCATAATTCTCCTTGTATTTAACACGCAGATTATTGTTATTATTGTCGTTTTTTTTTTATTTCTGTTTACTCTTAACCAGAGTACAAGAAACCCAGTTCACCAAAGATTTTTGCTTAAATGAGGATATACGTTGTCAAATGCAATTTTTTGATACCCCTTATCTATCTTTTTATCTTATTTGTCATTTATTTTACCTTCCAATTTAAAGAAATCACAGATTAAAGCATAAATATGAAGTTTGGTTTCGCCAACCAAGAATTCTTTGGATTTCCACTTTGTGGTTTTATTCTCAGATGTCGCTATAGCGTCAATATTAAAATCCATTTTATTATTGGTTATTTTGACGGGAAAGACTTGATTTCATTTTTAGAGCTCCTGTACCAGTCGCTCTAATGAATCCTGGTAGGATGAAATATGTATAAGCGATAATACAGAGGCACTATATGTGAAATGAAATCTTAACTGTCTTTTCTTTTATTGTTGTTAGGTATTCATACTTTAATTAATGTTTTTAGTTAATTCTATAACAACTGATATGAGATCCGGTTAACTATGTGCCACTGGCTAGCGTGTGACATAGTTTATAGTAATTGTAGTTTTAAGACTACTGTTAAGTATGTATTGATAATAGGGGAAATAGTTGATTGAAAGACGTATCAGCATAATTGCTAGTTATTGATGAAGAATATTTCATAGCGAGTTGCTTCTGACAATTCCCAATAAGATGTTAGATGGTTTTTTGGGCTTGATATTCACATGAGCTTTTTCGATTTGAACCTGAGGTCTTTGACGATATATTTCGGTTATTTTGGTTGGAATGACCAAATCCTAAATTTCCTAAATAATTGGGAAATATATTTCCTAATGTCGACCAACAGGTTGATTCTGTATCAAAAATTATTGCGTAAGATGTTTCCTACGGAAGATTTTAAAATTGTGGGATGCATGGCAGATAGTATTCGAACGCTAATTTCTGGATTTTCCTCAACTTTCAATAAAATAACATCTTCATGTGCTGCTGATACATATTCATGTCGTCGTTTTTCGTTATTTTTTTGGGACCACTGAACCTATTTCTCTTAATCGTTGAAAAAGAGCTGTAAATATTAGGTTTGTGGGATCACTATTGGAAAATTTTTAAGGATATCTACGTTGTGCTGCTTGAGTGTTTACACCTTAGTTCTCATTAGTAAAAACCATTTTTGTTGAATTGAAATTGTTATATTTAAATGCCACAAAGTAAAAAAAACTAAAAGATAAACTTCGCAGACCGACCACAATTTGACAATGAATAAAGGTAGGTTATACTTCTGTTGACAGTTGATAACTTTCATAACTAAAAAAAAAATTTCGAAACATTTTTCTGAACAAACGGTGTATCCTAAAGACTTAAGAGGAGGAATGCTTAAAAGATAAAAGCAAAAAAGTTATGCGTTAAAATAACCGTTGATTAACCCAAAACGGACGTCTATGATCGGTACTAAGAAAAAAAAAGCTCGGACTAGGTGAATTGTGTTAAATTGTCTTAAAATTATCTGAGGAATCTCCGGTCTTTGTTTGTCAGAAGAGTTTCTGGACTCCTTGTATATTAATATATATATTATACTTCATATGTCACTGGCTTGTTATAAAGAAATATTTATTAAATCAAAATTTTTTTTAGTTAATAAAGAAATAACGTTGTTTATATAAAAAAATAAGCTTTATGAGCCTTAAGTGACACTAAAAATTAAGTTAAAATCAACGGACAGACCTTAATAATCTTCGCTATGCTGATAATACAGTTATAATAGCTGATAGCCAAGAAGCGCTATAATGGCTAATAGATAGAATAAACACTGAAGGAGAACGACTGGGCTTGAAGATTTATATAGACAAAATG